GTAATGAATTTTCCTACAGGCTTATTGAAATCCCCTCATCCAAAAGGTGGCCCAGTGAAGACTTCAGAGAGTTTAAGGCAGAGCATTTTAGATAAACTTCAAAGAAGGGAGCAGCAGAGCTAAAGGATAAACCACTCAAAACCAGGCTCACGGCTCTCCAGCCAATTCTGACTGGGGGCACTTACAGGGCCAGCTGTGACTCTTTATGGGTGCAAAGCGGCTCATCTTTCTCCTGCAAAGTGGCTGGTGGATTTGAACTGCTGACCTTGCAGTTGGTCGCCCAAGACGCAATCTCCTAAACCACCAGGACTCCTGATACCTAAAGCATCACTTGAGAAGTATGGTTACTGGAGGACTACAAAGTCCACACAATGGCTATAGGCTGTACAGAAGGCACAGCCTTATGGAGGGCAAGCACAGGCCCTTGAGTCTCCCACAATCCTGACTGCACTCCATCCCAGAGCCCCCAGGAGGAGCCACCAGATAAACCAAAACACCCAAAAAGGACCCTGTCCTCAAGGGTCCATTTCTCAACATAGCAGGGTTGGACTCACGGTATAATTTTAGATCTAAAAATAATACCCAAACATGTTTTCATAAGAAAGGCTGTAAGGGCCCTAATAGTTCCAAGCGTGCAAATGCTAATGGATATCCTTTTGATGAGACCAATTTAGGCACAAATGAGTCATTTTGGCAATCCTTAGACTGAAGAAAAATACACTTCTTTTAAGGTCTCTTTAAAAGATTTTTTTTTTTAATCCACCGCCATCAATTCCTACTTATAATGATTCTATAGAGGGTTTCTGGAATGAGAAAGCATTATGGGGGCAGCCTGCCTCCTCTTTCTCCCCCAGAGCTCCTGCTGGGTTTGAACTGACAACCTTGCAGTTAGCACCCAGTGCCTGGTCCACAGTGCCACCAGGGCTCCAGATGGCACAAATTCAAGCGGCAGTAAATAACCCAAGTGCCTCTTCTATTCTCAACTCCCACACGTCTTGCTGTGGAGGGTGGGAGAAGCACGGGAGACGGCCCGTGGGCCTGTCTTGGCAAGAGGGATTTGGAAAGCAAGACAAACGAAAGCAAACTGGCGAGCAGTGCGACTCTCGGGACACATCAAACCGGCAAACTGGCCCGCAAATGGAAAGCTTTGTGACTGTAAGGTCTACTGATTCACTCGACGACCAATGGTGGCCCAGTCTAAGTCACTGTTTCTACCCTGAGCATTAACTGCGCTGAAAATAATGAATGCTGGACAGGTGAGCTCTGTGGACCACTCCACTGTGCACCGAGCCAGGCGCTGCTCACCGTGGTCCGAGATACAAAAGGCATTGCTCTTCCCGCTGCATTTTCTCCAGGGCTTTGTCAATTCCAATTGGAATGTCGTGGTCTTCTCCTTCGCCAACAATGAAGATCACATCCCGGCTGTCAAACAACTGCCCACCACAGTGGCCCACCAGGTGTACTGTAGGACAGAAGACAGGACAATCGGCAAAGCAGCTCAGGGCCTATTCCCATCAAATTTACTCGACTCATCCCAGAGAAATTTCATATCAGGGAAGAGGTTTTTGTTTTACTTCAAGACAAAATTTTTAAAATGTACAAAGATCATTTTTTTTCTCGGTCACTTAGATTCTTGTTCTATGATCAACAATTCTCTGAAAGTGTCCAAATACTGTTACTACTAAATACACTGTATTCCTTTTCCTTAGGGTCTTTGACAGAGTGAGAAAATGGGTGACTGATACACTATCACAACATCCACACACTAAGTTATCTTTCACAAATGAAAGGCCTTTATTCCTATATTGAAATTAGGGGTCCCCCCCCAAAAAAAAACAAACAGGAATTGTGCTGGGTGGAGTGGAGCTTTCGTAGTACGCATTTTTCCTGCTGTGCACGCATCAAGCAACTCACTCTGAGTTAGTGCACCCAGTGGCGTCACCTGGGAAGGTTCTTTCTGGTCACAGTGAATTTTTTTGTAAAAGCCGTTTTTTGCTTGAGCCTCAGATTTTGTTTTTTGGTGTGTGTGTGTGTGTGTGTGTGTGTGTGTGTGTCTGATGGCTGATTTAAGAGAACAGTGTGTGGCTGTGAAATTTTGTTTCCTGTTCTGAAAAAGTGCAGCAGAAACTGTTGTGCTGGTGAGCACAGCTTACTAGGACAGCACTACGGGGAAAACTCAAGTGTACGAGTAATTTCTCATTTCCAAAATGATGAAATGTCGACTGATGACAAACTTCTTTCTGGACAAAGGTGTTGACTTATAAAGTATTTGGAGTTCATTCCACCAGGTCAGACTCTGAATCAAGCTTTCTATTTAGAGGTTCTGAAAAGATTGTGTAACTGTATGTAACAAAAAAGCCTGATTTGTGGTTTTGCCACCATGACAATGTGCCTCCTCACACCTCTCTCAGTGTACCAGTTTTGGGCAAAAAACAGCATGCCTCTTTTGCCCCACACACCTGACTAACCTGACCTCGCTCCATGTGACTGTTTTTTGCTTCTGCAAATGAAGACGGACATGAAAGGATAGCAATTTGATGACACAGAAGAGGTGAAGAAAAAAATGAGGGAGGTGCTGTCAGCCATCCAAACAGATGAGTTTGAAAAATGTGTTTCCAAGAATGGAATTAAAAAAAAAAAAAAAGGAATGGAATCGCAGATTTGACAAATGGAGAGTACTTTGCAGGTGAAGAGGTTGCTTTGTTAAAAAAAAATTAAATACATAGCTTTGAAAAAAAATTCCGGTTTGGGGTGGTACCCCCCTCACACCATATAATGGTCTGATTCACTAAAATGCCTCTTTTCTAAAATGGGTTGGTCTGCTTTAAATCAATAACTTGCTTTAACAAAACTAAAAGTCACTTGCTCCACCCTGACCAATAAAATAATTACTGTTGTCCAAATACAAATTCAATTCCAACTTACTCTACTTTTGAACTACGTGATCTCTAATTCCCTTGAGGCTCTAAAATTCTATGATTTTACCACCCAGTAACATAGCTCTCAATACTGCCCAGAACACAGCTTCAAAGGCTAATTCTTGAAGTTAATCATTTAACCAAATTATCTTTAGCTCAGGCTTGGGAAATGAGATAAACTCTGAAGAGTAAACAATAGTGTAGACACTAGGTACCAAAATATCACCTGAACATCTATGCTTTAAAGCTCTCTACCCTTCTTAAGGGGCCCTGGTGGCATAGTGGGGTTACACATTGGGCTACTTACCATAAGGTCAGCAGTTTGAAACCACGAGCTGATCCTCCAGACTAAGATGCGACTTTCTATTCCTTTAAGAGTTACAGCCTCGGAAGCCCACAGGGCAGTTCTACTCTGTCCTATAGGCTCGCTATGAGTTGGAATTGACTTGATGGCAGTGAGTTTGAGGGTTTTTTTACCCTTCTGTAATTCACTAGGATTTAACATCCTCTCTTGATTAATGTGTTAGTCTGGGTACGCGTTAGAGAAACAAATCCACAGAAACTCGTATGTATAAGAGAGAGTTTTACATAAAGGGTAAGTGCACATCAAGAAAACATCCCAACCCAGTGCTGCCCAAGCCCACAAGTCCAACATTAGCCCATATGTCCAACACCAATCCACAAAATCCCCCACCTCACAAAACACACACAATGATGGCAACTGCAGGAGGAAAGCCGAATCAGTGAGCGTGGAAGCATCTCAGCACTGGCAGGGGTCTCCACACGGCTGCTCCAGCACCCAGGGCTGCATCAGGGTAGGTCCATGTGGCTTCTCCTTGGGGATGTCTTGCAGGAAGTGAGCTTTGCCAGCTGAAGCAGGAACTGGGTAAGGCAGCTGCACCCTGGTCCGACCATCAGAAAGCAAGAGACCCGAGAACTAGAAAGGCGAGGCTCACTGAGCCATGCATCCCTCTGCCCTTCAATTATCCCCACATGTGTTTATCGGCCAGGTTGGCACAATAAAGTATCTACCTCAATTGGTGTCCATCACTGACACAGGATGGGCCTAAGGAGCTTGGGCCAAACTAGAGGAAGCCTGATTCTGGAGTCAGCCCCTCCAAAGAAAATCCAGACTGAGGCTGGCTGTGTGGGCGAAGCTGATCCCGAAGCATTTTGTTCTATGTCCCATGCTCATAAGCACAGATGACTCGTTCTGTTGCACGCACTTTCAGAATGTTCTCTAGATACAACTTGTCATCATTATAAGTTCTTCTGGGTTGGAAAGTCTTTTTAAAATAAATTCAACTTTATTATTTTCACATCCATGCGTGCTAGTGAGGTCCTCCAGGGAGTCAAAGTCTTAAAATATTTTTACTAGAGTAAAGGCTGATGTTTCTAAAGGGATGGGGCTGTCTTAAGAGTTTGAGTTCCTAAATAGTTTAGAATCTGCCCCAGAAATTTAATCCAGATGAACAGAGGACACTTTTCATGAGAAAGGGTTTGAATTTCCAACCACGGGATGTGAAATTTTTCAAGTGAGGCGATCTCCTACCCTCACACCCCACAACGAGTTAACGGGGCTCCTTGGCTGAGGCTTAGTGTTCAAAGTATCATCTTTCTCCCAGAGGAGAGGACATTTAGTCGGGGAGGAAGCTATCAGTACATTGGCTGTGGCTTTTGGTTGATCAACTTGAGCACGGTTTCAAAACAGGAAATCCAGAGACTATGAAAAGGATATTCCTGCGTGTGGGTTGGTTTCCTAGGCTGGCTCTCAGCTCGATGCACATACCTGATAGTAAATTTATATCTAAATAATGTCAGAGGTGTTCTTTGGATGTGATAACTCATCAGATTTAAAAAAAGGATTGGCCCCTAACAAACATGCAAATTAAAAACAACCGAAGCAAAAAAAATAATTCCCAAATTATATACAAGCAAAAGTAAGACAGCAAAACAACACATTCACTGCGGCTGATTTCTCTCAGAGGGCCAGTAAATGATAGAGGCAGTGTGTGAGGTTACCTATTAAAAAAGTAAAATTTTGTAACAGCTCTTATAAAATACTTGCTACCTGGTAGATGGGCTAATTCCTTTCTCCCACCCCCATAAATATAACTCTTCTAAACTAGATCTGAACAAACCCTCCTAAGGCACAGTCCTTTATAAATCTCCTTTCCATACTGGCGTTAGCTGGAAGGTCGAAGCAAGAGGGGTCCTGCAGCTTGGGATGAATCCAGCTTCGCAATAGCTGTAAGTAGCAGAAGCTACTGCTTTGCCAACCAGTTTCAGAAAGCAAAGCACTGGGGTGTGCTAAGTTCTCACCGACACCAGCCTGGCTCGACAGATACCCGCGGTGGCCACAGGAGGGCCCTCCCTCTCGCTCTTAGGACCAAGGCAGCCCTGCGCGCCTCCCACAGATTCAGATTTTCCTTTTTTATACTTTCCCAAGGAGCGCTCCCCTAGGCCACCGTGGCTGTGGGAGACCTCCGGTTGCTTTTGACCTTCCATCGTCTTCTTTTTTTTGACCTTACAATCTTTCAGTGCAAATACTCGCTTAATAAATATTTAATAGTAACTGATGACTCACTGGGAGCCCAGCCTCTAGGGCTCAGGAGGTCCGCGGCTAATCCCAAGCAGTATAATTTGCGGGAAATAAATGATCTATGACGCGCTCTCACAGACTCGAAGTACATACAGGATGCTTCTACTTGGGGCTTTTTCAGCAAAGAAATAAACACGTTGGGGGGAAAAAAGACACAGCATGCTCTCTTTTGAAAGTCTATGTAACTTAAACTGTGGGGGCTCGTGGTGAAGTTCGGAGGGAGGGGTGTCCCCCGACCCCCAGCCCCACCCCCAAGTCAAACCAGACCCAATGATCCCAGCTTGGCTGCGCAATCCTGGTATAACCACATCAAGTGAGCCCCGGCTGCCGCCGGCAGAGCGGGCTCTGACTTATTGTTCTCCGCCTGCCCTGGAGCAATCTTGTTTTGAAAGCTCAGAACAGCCTGTTCCCCATGTGGCTGGCACATGAACTCGATGTGCTGACAGCAATTTGTACTCAGATTAAAACGGGGGAAAGGAAAAGGGAACGCACAGCAGTCACAAAAACTGCAACGCAAGAACTCCCCCCTAATCCCCACCCCCACCCCAGTGTGTGTTTTAGGAAGCCAAACTGAAGGAGAGGCTCCCTAACTTTCAAAACAAACAACGCTAAAGGCGTTCGCTCTGGCGTCCGCTTTACCCTCTTCTAATGATAGGAGTTGGTGTCTGATCGATTTGCACTCATTCCCAGAACAATCACTGGGCCATGGGGATTTGAATGGGAATGGCGTAAGGGCTTCACCAGCAGGCGAGCCCCTGACCCGATAGCCACACGTTGCGACAGGTTGCTCCCACTGGGCGAGGGTTTTCTCTGCTGCCCAATCCCTCAGGGAAGAGTTTCTCCTGCCTGCACCTCCGGCCTCCTCTGGGGGACAGCAGGACTCGACAAGCCGGAGAGGCGCCCCAGGAGGAAGCTGAGACGGCATGCGAAAGGCAGCCGAGG